ACACTTGGGCAACAGCAGTAATGAGTAGGGGGGGATTTAAATTTCAACACCTGACACTTTAGAAATGAAAGACACAAGATCCTGCCTGGTATTTGGCACAGTCAGCGTGTAGCTCTTCCCAAATCAACTTTCCTGTGCAAAGGTGAGAAACAACATCGAAGGCGACAGGGCACAAGGGAAGAGAGAACCTTGCTGCCAGAGAGGGAAAACCTCAAAGAGAGATCAGAGGAGAGAAGCAGTGTTTCAAGGAAGTAACTCATACTATCCTACAGCAAGTTGTTAGCAAAGGTAAAGAAAGAAAAATCACCAGCCTGCAAAGTCAGTGCTTGATGGCAAATGGCTTTCTAATTAACTCCACGGTGTGGTCCCCGGGCTTTTACTTGATAAATGAGGAGGACGACGCAAGCCACTTAGCCTTTCCTACAGGACAGTGAGTGTCACTGGACTGATGAATTATCGTTTCTCCAAAGTTCAGCCTGCCTCAGAAAGAACCTGTCATGCCAGCTGCTTTTAAAGACAGCCGGCTGAAATTTCTAGGGCAGGGGACTCGAGATATTACAGCTGAACACTATCTTTGATCTACACTCTAAGATTATTCTTGGGAGGGGAGGGGGGCAACCATTTTCCTTCCCATGGATGCCTTGCTGAGAGCTGTCTAATGCAGCACAATGCTCCAAAAAATCAAAAGGGGGTAGGATGGGGTATTTCAATGACATTCACAACTCTTTAACAGCCACAGAGAACCCCTTGAGCTGCAGAAGGACCCTCAGTAGCTGTCACTTCGCTGCCTCCTCTCCCCTAAAGGCATGACAGCCAGCGAAACACCCACAACGGCTCCTACCCTCTTCAGCACACTCCCTCGCCTTTCCTGAAAGCAAATCTCCAAGGGTTTACATTAAGCATCGCAGCTCCCAACACCTAGGAAATCCATCAGCCATTTCTGAGGCGTTTGGGGGGGGAAAAAAATCTCTGGTTTCCCTCCAATCCCCCGCCCCACCCCTTCCCTCCAGTTTCCCCCCAGTTATCCTGCAGGTGTCAGACTTTTGCCAGCAATAACGCCGAAGGATGGCACTTTCAACGATTTGCCATAAAAGCCCACGCTTCTTATATTTAAAAAAAAAAAGGGACCTTCATGCAGTTGAAAGCGGGGTCCAGGAGGGTGCAAAAAACCACCCAAACCCTGCAAGACAAATGTTACGCCTTGATCTGTGCCGAAGTTGGAGGATTCCTCCCCCTCGGTGACTTCTCCTAGGAGTGAAATCAAAGGTAGGGGAAGGGAAATCTGCCAAAGTTGGGCGACAACTTACTTGGTTTAGATGCACGCGTTGCTAGCCAGCGGGTGCGGGGCGAGGATCTGCTTTCCCTCCAGCTGTTAGCAGATCACATTCTCTCGGGGGTGAGCCCTGGGCAACTCCCTGTGCAAATTAAATCCACTGCGGATCGCTCCGTGCTCGCCCGGGTGGCCCATCTCGACTTTATCCTCATCATGTCTCACACGCAGCGCCGCGCGCCCGGCCGCCCAGCGCCGCCGCCGCCGAGTGCCCGCTT